TGCAAAAAAAATCGATAGCTGCATTCGTCACAAGTGGGAAAAATTTAAATCTGCATGGCACTTTACTCCAATTGGCTCATTCAACGTTGATTCTGATTCCGCAGAAATGGGTTGGGTGTGAAAAAGTATTTGTTGTTAACATTCTTTTTTCATTCGGTTCTTCCAGTTACGAGTCTTTTTTTTTTAAGCTGATCGTTTTGTGTTCATTTTGTTCCGTTCGTTTTTCGTAACAGATTTAATGTTTGGTATAGAGCTTATAAAAAATTCGCAGTGTGAGATAGGCAAGAAGTAAGGCATGTAGCAACATCAGCACGGAAAAGGGCACTCCTTTAAATGCAAGGAAGGGTAAAAATATTTTAAGTCAAGTGATAGCGATTGCTGTATGAGTCGTACGATTTTTGAAACAAGCACGGGCAACGCCGGGCCATGCTGCATGTTTTACTATATACATGTTGTAGCATGCCTACAGACAATAATGGGCATGTCCCCATTCACATAAATACAGTAGTAAATATTGTATGTTGGTCTGCAGTTGAAGATTCGTCTCAAACTGTGTTGGTCAAACCCTCTACCTCCGGGAAGAGAGGATCCCCAGACGAGGGCAGAGTCTCATCTCGGGAAACAGCTACCCGACCCCGTTTTATAGGGTGTCTACGGGGAATTTTTGCCCGAGCCTACGGGCTTTGTGCCACATCTGACCGCGTGGAGCGTTTGGTAGATACCCTGCAGTTGGAAATTCATTGTGGAATTTACTTGACTCACTTCTAGCAGTTGACTACTTCTACATACCGCTGGCAAATCCTATATGTGTTGTTCTTGTCCTAAGTATTATCGTTCATTACCAACCTTCGTGTGATTATTCTGTTCACTAACCTTCCCTAGATTACAATGTATGTATTTTTATACATTCCTAGTGATTTGATTTTAGTTTGAGGAGACACTCTTTGCCCATATCTGGGACCATAAGAGGTGATATCAGTCTGGGGGGTCATGGTGGACCTGGGGATAACAGCAATTAAAAGATGGTTCCACGCTCCTCAAATCCACCAATTTCCTGATCAGAGGCCTTGCTACCGGATGTAGGTTTATCGTCATACCCATAACTATCACCGAAGTTAAGCAACGTTGAGCCTGGTCAATACCTAGATGTATGACCACGTGGTAATACCAGAGCTACTGCAAGCTTGGATGTGCGGGTGGTCTAATGGCTAACTGCTCGGAATGGGAAATTGGAGATCCGAGTTCCAATTCCAGTTGGGTTCGTTATATCCACTTATGTGCGAATACCCCTGGGAAAGGCATGAATCCATCTTTTCTCTTCCCTAGTTATGAGTTTATTAGTAATCATCTTGCACATTTACAAATCTTTCATTCGTCCATGCATGGAATACTGTTGCCATATCTGGTCTGGTACTCCTGCTATTCATCTTGAAATTCATCCAAAGAATGATCTGCAATATAATAGATCCTGACTTGGCATCTCGACTTCAGTTATATTCTCACCAATGCGGTGTGGCTTTCCTCTGTCATTTCTACAAATATTTTCTACAAGTGCTCTGCTTTTTTCCTCTGGTGCCCCAGCTGCATGAATTTAAGTGTATTACTAGAATTACATCTAGGTCCCGCTCGTTCTCTATTGAAATAGTTAAATGTAACTGCCAGTTCTACTCCAACAGTTTCTTTGCTCGCACTTCCCGCCCGTGGAACTCCTTTCCGTTTACTTGCTTCCCTGATAACTATAATCTTCAAACATTTAAATGCACCGTCAATTGCTATCTTCTGTCTGCTTGAAATCTGTTCTTTCTTTGTTCTTTCTTCAATCCTCTCAATTTCTCAGTCTTCTCATTCGATTTCACTCTCTGTAACTCCCTGCGTTCTACTGGCATTGTTGCCTTGCTTGGGCGGAAACGAATAAAAAAATTACTACCAAGAGGTTCATTCTGGTTCATTCCTATTGGGCTTATCTCCCAATTCGTTATTGCACATGAACGTTATGCCCTGCCAATACCCCATGAATAATGGACTGTTCCGTTTTGATCGCGTGGAAAGAGGGCAAAAGACACTACCTTCTTTCAGTGAGAAAACGAAAGAAATAAACAAGAGAAATAAACCTGTTTACCAGCTGTTTCAGTGACATGGAAAAATTCAGTCATGAGCTGAAGAATTAAGATTTATCAGAAAATTCAAATAGGAAAACCGTGAAATTTTAACGGGTCATTCTCGTAATGATAATTCCTCATTTAAAATTTTATGAAAATACAACAGAGGCCTGAAGAAGGCTGGATGGTAAAACGGTGGAAACATTGTTAGTATAACAACAAAGATAAGTATGTTTGTCCAAATACCAAAGTATATGATAATCTTGAAGTGAAGGGGGAAGTCGCGAAATTCCAAAACAAATGAAAAATCTTATCTAGGGAGCTGCCATTCGTTTTATGAAAATGATCGTGTTTTTTGTTTGCTCACCACTGAAAATGGACGAAAATAAATACAATTTGTGGCACATTAAATTGCTTATTTTATGAAAGGTAAAAATGTGCCTCAAGTGCAAAAAAAGCGCAGTTTCATTATATATATATATATATATATATATATATATATATATATATATATATATATATATATATTAAACAATATAGACATATTATGTGTATATATTTTTATAATTCTTTCCAGTTCTCTAATTATCTTATCAACGCAAGGGGGTTAACGAAAGATGGTAAAATGGAAAATGGTGTTAAATGTTAATCAACTCAAATGCCTTTTAAAACATTGCTACTATACAACAAAAAATGTGTGCAGTGTTGGTTGGTTGATTTTGATATAGAGGGCCTCGAGAACTTGAATTTTTTGTTTATTATTTTCAGGGTATAGTATATGGGTGTTAACATTAAAGAGAGAATTAGAGAACTAGAAAAATGGCTATTATATAACTAAATAGACATAATATGTCTATATTATTTAATGAAATATGACTGAATGAAGAAATACACACACACACGCGCGCGCACACACACACATGTATACATTCAACCAACGTTTTTATTCACTTTTATTCACTAGATTTAACCAACGCTTTTATGACATTGCTTTGATAAATTCCTTCATAGGACGAAACACGTCGGCTAATAGTAGTTTTTCTTCTTGTCCCTTTATATATATATATATATATATATATATATATATATATGTAATTTATTCGAAAATTATAGCATAAACATGTTATGAAATCACTACAAAAATAGCTATTAGATTTCAAAGACACCAGAAGTGTTGAAACAAGATGGCTATTTTTGTAGTGATTTTATAACATGTTTATGCTATAATTTTCTAATAAATTATATTTGCTCTACTCTGTATTGAGCACTCTTTTAACAATAGTATTTTTTGGTTATTGGAATTTATTCCGTATACACCAATCCTATACTTGGCCTGACGATTGCATCTAGTATGAAACAGACCGTCGCCTCTAAGTGTTGACTTCTATGTTCTATATATATATATATAGGCAACGTTAACCTTTGTACCCGCAAAAAACGATGTCTCAAAAGAACGGTTATTCTCTTGACACCGCTATTATTGTATACATTTTTGACTCTCTCGACAATGTTTATTGTTATTAAAAATCGACGATTAGAATTTTAACAAAACCCAAACATATGAAAATGGATTTGTATATTTTCTTTATTCTTGAGAATTGATATCTAAGTTATTAAACTCAATTCATTTATTAGATTGAATTAAAAAAAAACTTGTTTTCAAAGTTATTTATAAAATGTTAAGTAACGAATATTGCATTTCAGTTAGTTTATATATTTTGACAATTGTGTCATTTTTTAAATAAATTTTTAAAGAAAAAGATGTCTTTTCAAAATTATATCTCTATAAAGTGGTAAATAAATCTTTATAAAAGGTAAATAATAAATATATCATTGTTCTTTTATAACCTTGTAAATAAACGTTGCCGAGGGAGACAAAAGTGTATACAGTAATAGCGGTGTCAAGCGAATAGCCGTCCTTTTGACATAGCTTTTTTTTTTCAGACATGAAGGTTAAATATTGTCTATATTTTTAAGGAAATTGCACAAATATATTTTTTTCAATTGAGTCGGATTTTTTTTATCTTACTTAAAATAGTTTAACTTCCACGTGTTTGATTGTCGTGGACTTCGCAAGGAACATAATGAAATTACCGTATATACTCCTGTATCATGCAACTTTTGAAGCTAACTTTAAAGAAGTCGCATTATACTTAAGATATAAAATTAGTGTATGTACTGCTGGCCTTGGCTCCGCCGTTGACCAAACTATATATCCATTTACTGTAGTCAAATTAGCTTCAAAATTAGGTCATCAAAGGTCGCATGATACGCGAGTATATGTAGTAGTCATTATGCTTAATCGGAAAATTAAAACAGGAAATATTGCTGGTATTGCCTTTTTCATTAAGTATTTTACCTAATCAAGGCGGGAGAGCCACTAGCATGCAAGGAGTTACAGAGAGTGAGAGTAAAGAGGGGTGTTTCAGGATAGGATATAGAGAAGAACGGGGATCAAGATCAAAGCACCAGAAGATGTCGATTGACATTACATTTGAATATTTGAAGATTATAGCTACCAGTGAAACAAGTAAGAGGAAGGGAGTTCCACTGTCGGGAAGTGCGAGAGAATAAGCAGTTGGAGTAGAAGAGACGGCTACATGTAAACATTTCGACAGTGAAAGAGTGGGACCGAAATGCCAACCCAGTAGCACGCTTAAATTCATGCAGTTGGGGTACCAGTGAAAGTAGTTCATCAGAGCAGTTGCCATAAAAATATTTGTAGAAAAGACAGAGGGAAGCCACATCATGTCTGTGAGGAAGTGACTGTAGTCGAGATGTCTACTCATTGCATATTCGTCTTTGGATTTTTTATACATTATTTCGTGTTAAAAACTTGAATTGATTTTTTTTAAATAATGTTTTTATTCTCATACATTGCTTTAATTTTTCCCTTTTCAGGAACCCTGCATCCACTCTTAATTTCGATTTTCAAAAGCATATTTACTGTTTATTGAGCACTCTGTTCAGAAACTGCGTAACTACAGACTTTTAGTACGAACCTACTGATACAAAGTATTCAACTGGGCCAACGTATAATCTGACACAAATATCCACATGTTGATGAGCTTCCAAAAAGGAACTATCAACAATGGCAACAGATTTAACGAAAATAACACCCACAACGACGACACCATCAACACTACCAACAACAAAAATAACAGCAACACCCGTTTCTACAACGCCGTTGTCAACGACAACTGAAGCATCGAATGGTGTATCCGCCTGTGTTCTTGCTAGTACACTGTCGGCTACATTTGTCATCCTCTTTTTAATTATTTGTGGAGTAATATATTTTTTGTACCGGAGGAAGAAGAAAAAATCGGCATTTTCATCCCAAATGAACCAAAAGCCAATTGATGAGCCCCATTTGGTAAGTAACATGGAATTTATTAATGAATATTAAACTAATCGATTTTGCATAAGCGTTCTGGTACATTTGGGTACCGTCCCCAAATATAGCATTGCAGCTCAGCCCTGACACTATTCCTATTGTGTTTGTTCCCTAATTCGTTATTGCACATGAATGTTATGCTCTGCCAATACCCCATGAATAATGGACTGTTCCGTTTTGATCGCGTGGAAAGAGGGCAAAAGACACTGCCTGGTTTCAGTGAGAAAACGAAAGAAATAAACAAGAGAAGTAAACGTGTTTACCAGCTGTTTCAGTGACATGGAAAAATTCAGTCATGAGCTGAAGAATTAAGATTTATCAGAAAATTCAAATAGGAAAACCGTGAAATTTTAACGGGTCTTTCTCGTAATGATAATTCCTCATTTAAAATTTTATGAAAATACAACAGAGGCCTGAAGAAGGCTGGATGGTATAACGGTCGAAACGTTGTGAGTATAACAACCAAGATAAGTATGCTGTTTCGAATACCAAAGTATATGATAATCTTGAAGTGAAGAGGAAAGTCGCGAGATTCCAAGATGGACTTTCCTTGTTGATCAGAAAGCAAGTGAAAAATCTCGTCAAGGGACCTGCCATTCGTTTTAAGAAAATGATCGTATTTTTTGTTTGCCCATCATTGAAAATGGACGAAAATAAATGCAAACATTAAAGAACTTATTTTATGAAAGGTGAAATGTGACTCAAATGTAAAAAGTGCAGTTTCTGTATGTGATATCTACTGGTGGTCGCAGCGCCAATATATGACGTCCTCTGGTCGCGATGCCAATATGTGACACTGCGCTGTCGGCCCGTGGTCAACTCCCAGTTGCGGTGCGAAGCTGTAAGGTTTCTTCCACCAGCGTTTGGGGTTGACTCCTTGTCGCTGCCACCAGCCTGTGTCCCGGTCGATCTGGTCCTTCCTAGTTCGATACCAGATTTGTCGTTCCCAGCTCACTTCCAACGTCTGGTTACCGAAGTAACTACTTTGATCTCAAGTCTAACTGCCTTGTGACTTTGATCTTAGGTAGACGAAATCAATCAGGCGTCGGGCCGTAGTGAAAGCTAAATCCGGGGTGATGGTGATATCACACAAGTGTAAGTAAAAGAAGCAATAAAACAAACTCAAGAGGTTCAAATATGTTGAGAAATAACAAATTATCTTTATCCGTCTGTTATATACAGTAGTGTGTTTCTCTCTCAGTTTCTATGGATTTGTGATACTTTTGCGTTTCTTAAGCGAGTTTTGGTATCTAAAGTCGTTCGTCAATATAACTTGCTTTTGGTAGGAAGTCGAAGTCGAAAGGACGTGGAATTTCTCGGTCAGCTTCTGCGAGGAAACACTCTGACTCTGTCCGGAACTGAACTCCAACTCCAACTCCAACTCCAACTGAAACTGTCTGGAGACGTTCGTTTATATGGATACCGACCAAAACCCAGTGTGGGGCCTGACGTGGTTTAGGTTCCTCGATAATTCTCGATTCCCAACAAGAATTCTCTTTGTTCTTAGGCCAGCAAAATTAATTACTTCCCATTTTTGGAAGATTAATCACTTTCCATTTCGGGAGTTTCTCCCTCGTCCGTGAGGGAAGGTCGGAGGAGAGTTATCCACCTAGACTCTTCCTCTTTCCCAGTAGTATCTTATGCCAATCCCCTCAGTGGGTGTTAACAACTTCTCCATCTTTTTGTTATACATTCACCTCCGCCTATCACCCATGCTACCACTTGACCAATGATCTCTCGGCAGTGTGGCCCTCTTAAAATTATTATCCAGAATTTTGTTTACAAAATCCTTTTTTTCTTTTTTCCATCGGCCAAAACATTTTTCCACAAACCCCAGATTGCCAAATAATTCTTATCACATCTTTCTTTTGGGGACACCCAAAATTTATTTAGGTCTCTCTATCGACTCATCAATCACTGTAAAAACCCGACATCTGGCTTCTCTGCTAAGTCAAATTTTAACGGGGGGGGGTCCGTGTTTTACCTGAGAATCAAATTCTTTATTTTTCTCATGCCTTAAAATCCGCTTATCACCAGATGCCCATTTTTGACGACGCTGTGTCTGACGTCAACAGTTTGAAAAAGTAATAATAATAATTTCCTCTACGATTTTCTTCCTCAGGCCAGAATTCTAACACATACCAGATGATTTCCCTTCGTTGGACCCAGTAATCAAAATTAAATGATATCTCTGAAAGATAACTAATATCGATTCTCTCTGCCTGTATCGTGGTCTCTCAAGACGAAACATTTTTTTATGGCCGCCATGTGTCGGCCGGCTTTGTTTTTCTTTCTGAATTCTGTTTCCCTTGGCGTGTCATCCCCATACCATGACATTAATCAGTTTTGACAGAATCTCATATCTCGCTTTTTTTTACGGATTTTCTGTCTCGTGCGAAAAGTATCTTTCTTCGTAAATAAAATCAAATCTTCTTTCTAACGTCGCCTAGTCTATCTTTCGATATAGCTTTTTCTCGCCTTGTCTTTTCTGTTTTTAATTTCTATGGTTAATTAGTTAGCTAATTACCATATCTAAATAGTGTCAAATTTATATATATATATATTAAACAATATAAACATATTATGTCTATTTTTAGAATAATCCTTCCAGTTATCTAATTATCTTCTTGATGTTAAGTTGAAATTCATCAAGGTATACATCCATCCACCCATCTCCGCTTGTCCGCATCCATCTACCAGTCTCCATCTGTCCGCATCTATTCGTCGATCTCTGTCAGTTCGCATCCATCCCACCATCTCCGTCTGTTCGCATTCATCAATTTATTTGAGTCTGTTCACATCCATCGACCTATCTCCGCCCGTTCGCATACATTTACCTATCACCATCTGTTCGCATCCATCTATGTATCTAAGTCTACTTATGTTTATCTAAGCCTGTTCGAATTTCTCTCAGTCTTTTCTTATTCGATCTATGTCTGTTCGCAAGTATCTATCTCTGTCTGTTCGCATCCATCCGCCCATCGCCGTCTGTTCGTCTCTCTCTCTCTCCCTTTGTGTCTGTTAATATTTAAAGCAATGGGTATATTTAGGTTATGTATTTATGTTGTTTTTTTCTCTTTCAGCCAAGAACTCCAGAGACAAGTTTTTCCAGAAACAAAACTTTTGTACCGGAATCTGAGTATGATGTTCCACCGAAAAGAGAAGAACCTCTGGTACGTATTTCTTTTTCATTTAGCTTTTATTTATGGACAAATAAATAAAAGCGTAGAAAAAATTAGGGACAAAAACTATTTTTCGACGATCGTCGCATTTAAACTTACCCATATCTTGAATAGACAATTTCTTCCTGGTCTCTTTCAGTAGCGTAGCTAGATAGAGGCGGTCCACCCAGGCGACATTTTTATAACGATAGCACTTTTGTGTCAGCTGTACAAGCCTGTATAGGCTGTATTGAAATAAAAGTGGTTTTAATATTGGAACACTACTCACAGTTGAAGGAGGTTTTTGATTTTCAATATCTTAAACCATGTATTTAAGCGATTGTTATCTTGGCTAAAACAATAAACATTATCATTGTTGACAATATGAACACTGGGAACAGACCCAGAGTGTTCTTTCAATGACGCAGCAATGCTGTGTGTGGGAGACACATCTTGGTTGTTATCGTATGAATTTCAGTTATTTTCTTTGACAGAAGTTCGTTTGGGAGTAGGTGTTTATCTATTTTTTCGTCATTTGGGCCTGTTAATTAAATTGCCTCCTTGTGTCTTTTCTATAAATATTTTCATGGTAATTGTTCAGATGAGCTCTTCGCTATGGTGCCAAGATTTTTTAATTTAAGTGTAGTGCTAGACTGGGGCTAGACTGGCATCGTGGATGTTGCCTCTGTGGATGTTGAAAAAGCACAAATGTGCCTAAGCGTGCATTAGGGATTGGCTAGCCGCCCTAGTAGACAGGTATCCTCGAATACGAGTGGTCAGCTATTATTATTATTATTATTATTATATATAAGAGAGAGTGCAATGCACACTATTTACAATATTCGGACTATTGTTCTCATCTTTGTTGCAATAATTATCACAACGCTTCGGCCGTTGTACGCTCCGGCTTTATTCAGGTGGTTAGAATGTCGAACTGAACACTTTATTTCGCTTGCTGGGGTAGACTGTTCTAGTTCCACGTGCCATGTCCTTAAGGACACAGGGCACAGTGGATAAAGGCGTTGGTTTGATGCAGTGACAGGACCCAAAGAGTTGTGAGTTCAATACCTGGTTAAGGCAGTGGGGAACTCGGAGAGGTTAATTAACTGATAACTGACTTCTATTAGACACGGCTAATTTGAAATGGTGTGGCATGTCTATTATTATTATTATTATTATTATTATTATTATTATTATGTCATTATTTTCTCTTCGAGCTAAATATGTTATCCATTTCTGTTGTTGCTGTTTTTTTTTTGTTATTTGGTATAGTTCTTTATTTGTGATTTTGTAGCGCCAGTCTACAATGATCAAATAAGGGTGCCTCACTAAGATCTTCATGTTTCATACGTGCGAAGCCATTATTAGACACTGATAAAGCGCTTTTATACAACTGACAGTTTAGATATTTCTGAACGCGTTTGGTGCCATGCATGACGCCCATATGAAAGCCTAGACCTGACTGGATTATTTATCGGCATGACTCGAGTTTTTAGGTTAATGTTTATGGCGAAATTACCCATAGTACAGTCTTCTATACTAAATTTCTTATAACTGAAGTTTACGACCGTATCACGTTGAAATACCGGTTCTCTTGGATATGCGCGTGATGTAATGGATAATGGCTCGGAATTTTTTCAGCGGAAAGCTGAGTTCCAATTTCAGTTGGGTTCGTTATATTCACTTCCGCGTAAATACCCCTGGGAAAGGTTTGAATCCACTACTTCTCCCCCAGCTATAGGTTAATTAGCAAGACTTATATCACTAGACCATGATTATATAAAAAATTCTTTAAAGGTTATTTAAAGCCAGAAAATATTTTTAGATTTCATAAAAATATTTTATGGCTTTAAATAACCCGCAGAAGGTGGATAACCGTAGAAAACGAATTAATGCATCAATAAAAAAACTGTTTTGCTTAAAAAACTGATCCTAATATTTGGCTCTAGACTCAAATGCACCTCTGGTCAAAATCTTAAGACCAGATACAAAAGGGTTAAAAAAAAGTATAAAATAATGTTACTTTAATTAAAATATATTTGCGAAACATTTATATTTAATTAGAAAATATAGTTTATCAACAAACAAGTGAACCTTTTAAGCTTTTAATTGATTAATTTAAACAAACATTGAAAAAAGGATTTGTTTTTGGTTGCCGTTTATCTGTTTTACATTGATATCTTTTGTGTCACATTCTGCAGGTTTTCGACGAATTGTTTTCGAAGTTTCCTCATTAAAGCATCTTGCATCGACCAAAATAGGATATAATCTTTTTTTTTTTTTTTTTTTTTTTACAATAATCTTCATTCTGTACAAGATCCAAAAGGAACAGTTTATGAGGATATGTGGGGAAGATAACAGTTAACCCTAGACTGGAACAGTTTAAGATTCTACCGATCGAGGAAGTATCCTCTTGGGAGTCGGCTCTACAAAGCATCGGTTCGCGAGAAGAAGCTGCTCCAGTGGAACTTACATCTCACCAATGGAGTACAAAGGGAATAAAGATGTTTCGTTGTAATGTGCATGGCATGGTGGGTCTTAGCCATGAAGTTTAGAACAGGTGCAACTAAAGAGTTGAATAGTTTTCATGGATATAACGAGAAAGTGGCGAGAAAGTTGCAATGATTTGTCTGTGAGGAAAGTGGTTGTAAGGTGGAAAATAGTTCATTATCCACAAGGACGAGTAGACGCTTTTGGACTGGAAAGTGAAAAAAGCGCAGCTCCTGCCCATACATGGCAGCAGTGTGCCATTTTCGGCATGACCTGTTGCAAGGTTAAGTGAATAAATCGGTGTGGTTGTTCCATTTTTTTTCCTAGGTGTTATTCTTGCTGTATGCGGCCTTTCGATCTCATGGAGAATAACAACATTTTTCCTATTGACGAGCGTAGAGCAATTTTACAGCAAGTATTTATGGACATGTTACAGCTGCCGGACTTATAAATGTGAATGTCGTGTTCCATTGCGTTTGAATAACTCTAGATGAATAGCACCATGACGATTTGACCACACACCCATAATAACTTTTCTTCCATGGAGCTCGGATTTTGAGCTCGGTTGTGGAGATTTTCTTTTACTAATATTCACCCAATACAAGTCTAAAGAGCCTCTCAATGTAGAGGGTTATGTGTGGATATATTATTAAGGAAGGAAAAACAAGCTTTAGAAGCATGGAGCTGAAGCAGATTTTAGAAGGAATAGGAAACCCAATCCTAAACAGGAAAAAACGGATAAACGTTTACTCTTGTTCAAAAGTGTGAACAGGACGATAGGCGAGCCTATCTACTTCTGTTGGTGGAGGAGAGAAAAAATAAAATGAAATAGTAAATAAAATTTCAGAGTTTTAAGCAGACGTTATTACTGCAGTGCTGAAGCAGACTTTAGAATAGACCGGAAACCCAATCTTAAACCGGAAACAAGGGATAAATCTCTACTTCTGTTCAAAAGACTGGGGAGAAGTGAGCCTTATCAATTTACTGCCTTTGGCATTGAACATTTATTCTTAACTGCCACATATGATTAGTAGGGCAGGTTGATTTTTTTCACATTTTTCAGAAAATCAATATTGCACTCAGTGTAAACGCTGGCGTTTGATGTGATAAGTAATAACAACAAAAATTAGATTCATAGCTTTTACCAATTGTTGAGCATTTAATTTTAAAAATCGTCTGAAAATACCCAATTTTCCGCATGTTTTAGCTTACAAACTAATTTCAAGATGTTACTATTTCAAAAATAAATCCAAATAAAGTTGATTTTTTGTAGTAGATACATTGAATGGATAATATACAAACCAGAATTCAAATTATGAATCATCACAAGTAAAATATGTAATTTCTTTACTGTAATCGACAAGTAAAATCTGTGTAAAAGTTGTAAAAGATTACAAAAATGGCTACTCAATAAGATTTGTTGATCATAATTATTAAAGTAAAACATAGATAAAAATGTAAATACTTCTGGGCACAAATTATAAGATAAAATGTTTTAATTTGCATTGTTTATTGAAACTCACACTAGAACTACTGCACTGTATAACAAAATATAGCTCAGTGTAATTTCCCTTTGAAGTAAATAAGTCTTATTTGATGACACAATGATTTAGTTATAATGTCTTTGTGCCATGCATCTTGTCCATATACAATTTGTAAAGCTTCAGTAAATTATAAATTTTATATCATCGGACTGTTCCATCGCTATAAGGCCTTTCACTTTAATCATCGGACATAAATTTGGATAAAATAATTTGTAATATAATAAATAACATTTCAAATTATGTGCAATACCACGGTTCAAATGATCTGTCTTAATGATTCAGTCAGTTATGTGCCATCATGATATCTTTCATGTATCTTTCGATACATGACTGACGAAGCAGATTTTTTCCCGCATTAGGTTGCCATTTCTTTCTGCGGTAGACCAGTTGCCATCCAAGGCTATAGAACCCGGTCTGTCCTGCTGTTTACCCATAGCTGGGGAGAAGAAGAGGATTCATACCTTTCCCAAGGGTATTAGTACGAAAGTGAATATCAGTTATGTGCCATGCGTGATACGCGCTTAGGCAAATTGACGGACGAGGCAGATTTTTTCCCGCAGTAGGTTGCCATTTCTTTTTGCGATAGAACGAGTGTTAGGAAGAGAATGGATGGCGATTGATTTTGCATTTAAAATTTTGAAGGTTGCAGAAAGTCAAGTTCACTCGAGGGCTCAAGTGAACCACTAAAATACTTTTTAATCGTTTCACTCCAAACAAGGCGATAAAGACGCTAAGACACAGGGGGGGTGTCTAAACAGGCAATAAGGGATAAACATCTACACCAGATCAATAGCTGATAAAGTAGTGTTAACCGGGCGATAAGCGAACCTATGTACTCCTGATTTTTTAATTTTTTTTAATCATTTCACCCAAATCAAGGTGATAATACCACAAGATCTGAAAATGAAAGAGAATGAAAAGATTTTAGTGAGGAGAGGCGGGGTAAAAAGGAATGGAACAGGATTCGAGAAGACAGAAGATAGCGATTGACATTGTATTTAAATTTTTGAAGATTGCAGACAGCAGGGAAGCAAGTAAACGGAAGCGAGTTCCACAAATGAGAAAAGAAACTGTTAGATTAGTAGTGGCGGTTGCATTTAGCTAGTTCAACAGTAAAACTGTGAGACCTAATTGCCAATCAAGTAGCACGCTTAAATTCATGCAGTCAAGGCCATAAAGAAAAAGTTCATCAGAACAGTTGCCATGAAAATATTCGTAGAAAAGACAGAGGGAAGCCACTTCAGGATCGATTAGATTACAGGCACTTCTTCGAATTTTGTCAAGAATCTCGAGATATTTCAACAGAGAACGGGTGGGACCTTGATGCCAATCTAGTAATACACTTAAATTCATGTAGCTGGTCCACCAGAGGAAATAGCTCATCAGATCACTTGTAGAAAATATTTGTAGAAATGACAGAGGGAAGCCACACCGCGTTGGTGAGAAAGTAACTGAAGTCGAGATGCCAAATCAGGATCTATTATATTGCAGATCATTCTTTGGATTTTGTCAAAAACCTCGAGATGAATAGAATGCGCACCAGACCAGATATGGCAACAGTATTCAATGCACGTACAAATGGTAGATAAGAGCTGCTTTTATTCATTAATACTAATTGTGGGCAATTAAGTCATTTTGAGATAATTAGGAGTCCGCACCTTTTCAAGGGAAACATTAGTCTTGCTTGACTTGAATTGGCGCATTTTTCGTTCAGCAATAAATACGAAATAAAAACTGGGAGGACGAGAGATCATGATTAAAGAATCATTTTATGGTAATAATTCTTTTTTTTTTTCAGTACATGTGTTCATTCACACGAAACACCCCAGAGAGCATAAGATAGGCACGCCCCAGTGAAATGTAATGGTTAGTGAGATTAGTCTGGTCGACCTGCATAGTGGGTTTGATCCTTGTACAAAATTCGATATTATATAAATAAAAAATAGTTGACAGGTCGCAAGATTAATCAATGGTTTGAGGGAATAATCTGGTCAACTTGAGTAGTGGGTCTTTGTACAAATTTCGATATCAAATAAATAAAAAATGGTTGGCATGTCGTAGGACTAATCAATGGTTTACGGCAATAGTCTGGTCGGCCTGAGTGGTAGATTCGATCCCTGTACAAATTTCGATATCAAATAAAAAATGATTTGTAGGTCGTAGGACCAAACAATGGTTAGCGGGAATACTCTGGTCAACCTGAGTAGCTGGTTCGATCCTTTGTACAAAATTCGATATTAAATAAACTAACAATGGTTGACAGGTCATTAAATAAATCAATTCTGGGTTTGATAGATGTGTTAGGGTTGGACAAATTCATGTTAATATATAATGGATGACGGTCATTTGAAACAACGATTCCCGTACTATCGCCGAAGTTGAGCAACGTTGCGCCTGGTCAGTACTTATATGGATGGCCGTTTGGGAATACCAGGTGCTGCAAGCTTGGATGTGTAGATTGTGTAAAGGTGAGCCATACAAAATCAAACGTTTAAATAACCCAAACAAGGGTTTACATATCGTAAATTGAGCCAAACTAACTCACCCTATATTAATAGTTAACGAACCTATTCTAGTAGTCTGCTATTATGGAGTAGTGATATCGATTCTCAATGGTTACTCCATATAAAACCCGATATTAAATAACTGAACAAGGGTGAATAGGATCCTTTATTTAATCTACGAGCGTAGGATAGACTGTTCTCGATCAACCACGCATGTTCAGGGACATCTTGTCTAGTTCTTATTTTTAGTATTTCTTATTTATTGCTTGCCCTGTTTCCACTGAGTTCATCAAGTAGACACTGCCGGACACAGAAATTGAACTCAAATTTACTATGCCACCAAATTCACGAACCAACGCTTTAATTCAGTAGGCTATTGTCCTGTCTGAATTCCCTATAGGTTACACAGACAACTGATGAAGGCTGGAGGTACAACTACCGAAACGTTGTAATAACAACAAAGATTGGAACAGTAGTCCGCATGTAGATAGTGAAAATAACAAAAGCAGGTATATCACTGAAAGTTTTTTTGCCTACACCTAGCAACTTCACGGAGTGTATTGTTATAAAACGCAAGGCTGAGTAGATAATATCACATGTCGCAGGCCGAAGAAATGGCGTTAACACCTATATACATGCTTGGTTAATTCTCCATAAAACATCAATAAGAAGCGCACTGTAGGACACGAGCGTTTAACATAGACACACTGAAGGAAATCGGCCTATAAAAAAAGACGCTCATTCTGTGAGGATTTTAAAGTATCAATATTAGGTTAGGTAGTAATAGGCATCCGTTTATCTCGCGAGATAAAGGTAGCGCTCTGTTTGGTAAAATTCAGTCCCTTGTTGGTGAGACTGACTTCTCCAGAGCGCAGGCTTGGGAAAGGGTATATTGAAGCCGTGCGCTACCCTGACTACATGACCCTCCTCTTAGTCGTACCGAGAAGATCCAAAGGAATAATGAACATTATATTTCGGGACAGTTTAGCTGCAGGAATTGCCGGAATGTTTTCTGTGTTGACAACCTACCACCTTCGGGGCTCCACTACGAATTTTCTGTCTGGATTTACTTTTCCGAATTTTGGATAGTTTTCAAATTAGGGTTTTCTTTTCGGAGGTTTTAAATTAGAGGTTTTCTTTCACTAGATAGACTGCCTTTCTGGGCTGTCGAGTTCCATCTACCCGAAGCAGCTGGCTATGAGTCACGAGTTGTTCGCCCATTCATCAGCTTTTAGCTGGACTTAGTTGTCAGAGGCAATTTGAGACGCATGCCACCGAAGCATAGCATGAATTAGGTAAGCTTGATATATTTTGTAAGGATATGAGAATAATACAGAAACTATTTTGGGAGCAAAACGCCCACATTCTTCTTCTATGTATCGTGTCTCTTCAAGACGTTGGCGATCATGACTCTACATAACTTACTGTTCTTTAGTATTTGTCTATATTTCTGAGATGAGGTATTATGTACACTATTTACATTATTCGGACTATTGTCCTCATCTTTGTCGCCATATTTATTAAAATGTTTCGGCCATTGTACGCTCCGGCCTTCTTCAGGTGGTTGGAATGTCGAACTGAACCCTTGATTTCGCTTGCTGTTGTAGACTGTTCTACTTCCACATGCCATATTTAATGGATGTCAGTTATCAGTTATCTCCTGTTAATTCCCCTTTCACTGTTTTAACTGGGTATTGAACTCACACTCTTTGAGTCCTATCACTGAAACTAACGCCTTTATCCACTGTGCCATGAGTCGTTTGTAGCGCTTTGTAAATGTTCTCTTTTCGTTATATCTCCTTTCTTTGTTCTGCCATCTGTGTTTTCAAGTTCGTTAGAAACCTGTAACTTAGAGAGATTATAGTGTCAGGTTCATGTACAACATGAATTCTACTCTTCGAACATCAGATACCATAATCCAGTGACGAGAATACTCAGTATTCAATTGGTGATAGATGCAGTCGTATCTTTTAAATAGGTTTTGTCCTTCCCTTAGTCTGGATGATATTCAAGGCTGAAGTGCCTAATCTTTTAAACCATTTAACACTTAGCTGCAGGTGGAGAAGAGATAATGTCATACATATTTTGCGATGGTATATCTAAAAATAATAAAAAAATAAAATTCTTACATTTGCCTTGATAAAGTCCTTCAGATGACGAAACATGTCGCCCAAGATAAGTTTTCCTTTTGTCTTCATATATATATATATATATATATATATATATATATATATATATATATATATATATCAAATGGATAAATATAGGTAAATTTGTTTCGTGCAAAATACTGCCCTAAAATACGTTCGTATACCAATACACACACACACACACACAACACACACACACACACAATCACACACAACTATATATATATATATATATATATATATATATATATATATTATTGTATTTAGGCCATATTTTTCATTTATACACGTTTCATTAAAAAACAGTGCTCAATTTTAAATAACAGAGATATTTGATATATTAACAAATATACATGGTAGCCTATGTTGATTGCACAACTCGTAGTTTCATACCATTTTACAATCTTCAAACAATATACGGACACGACAGTGATGAATTTTGGATCACTAAGCAACGATTTATACCGTTTTTTTGGCATTTACATTAAACAAATACTGTAAACCCTAAAATACGTTAAACATGCGGCGTAAACTTCAAACTTGCACCTGAAGATTGCAAATAGCATGAAACTCAGACTTGTGCAATCAACGTAGTGTATAAGAAAAAATCACAAGCAAAACGATTCCGAGTTCACCAAAGGTTTCATTCAAAGCACAATCACTACTAAATAGACAACTATTATATATATATATATATATATATATATATATATATATATATATATATATATATATATATTCGTTATATTCACTTACGCAAATACCCTTGGAAAGGTATTAATCTACCTCTTTTCCCCAGCTATGGGTTAATTAGTAAGTACTATGTCAATAAAACCATTATTATTTTAAAAATGAAATAAAATTGCGTCCAAAATATTTAGATTTCGGCATTAAATAGCCCATAGAAGCGTGGATATGCCGTTAAACAAAAACAACCATACAAATCCATTGTGTTTAACAATTGTCTACTATCGTTCTACAAGTTGGATGATGCCATTTTCGTAGAAATTTTTTTTTTGTTGTTTAAAGAAGAGTATGATGTAATTTTCGACTGAGAGACAAATTTTTGTCATTTAAATTTTTCTTTAGAGGCAGGAACAAGTTAAAATTGGTTGTGATTTTTTATTAGTCTGATTAACAATTTCGAAGCATTATCTATTACACCACCCGCAGATCCAAGCTTACAGCAGCTAGTATTCCCAGGTGGTCACCCATCTAGGTACTCACTAAGCTCAACTTTGCTTAACTTCGGTTATCGTATAAGAATCGGTGTTTCAACGTGATATGGCCGTCGGCCATACCAGCTAAACATCGAAGCTTACAGCAACTGGTATTCTCAAGCGGTCACCCATCTAGGTATTGACCAGGCTCAACGTACGGGAACCGGTATTTCAACATGATATGGCCATAAGCCCCAAAACAATCGAGGTTAAATACTTGACTAATAAATGTGTTTTTGTGAGTATGTAAAATTTTGTTTTTAATTTTCTAATCGGGGATGAACTTTTGTAAGGATCTAATAAAAACAATTTAATCTGAAATATTCTTTGTTGTACGCGAGGCTAAATAGAATTTTTTGCTTATTTCAAACCGGTTTTCGTCAATTTAATTTTGGCGAGCTGGTGTGTGTTTTGTTGGGCGCTCCTGGACGTGGATTCTTTTTACCTCGAGTGTGCAGGAGACTCCGCCCTACTACCTTTCTGTTAATGTTAGCATATTTACCAGCCATAACTATTTTTCCTATGCGTGTCCATTCAAGACATAACTTGATCGACCACATATTTAAATGTCGAGTGGATCTACACCCGGCGTGTAGGAGGTTATCTTTTATGTCAACTCGCTGGTGCACTTAGCATTGTTGATAGTCTGGTGCAACATTGAGTGCAAAGTTTGTTCTGAGGTTAGCCCATTACGCACTAGGGCCATTGCAGATTGACCCTTTTCAGATTAGGTTCTCCTAACATGTTACATATAATCTTTTTCTGTATAAGTGTTATTCGGTTATAAAAGAGTACTTATGAGTAACATTTCTTGCAGCCTCGTAAAATGGGTCCTAAGGATGCATACCACGGAACACCGAGAGGTCATGAAGATTACAGTGTGCCACCCACGAGAAATGACAATTCTGTAAGTTGTTTCTTCTTCTTCTTCTTCTTCTTCTTCTTCTTCTTCTTCTTCTTCTTCTTCTTCTATCACTTTCCCACTTTCTATAAATATTTTCATGGTAATTTTTCCGATGAGCTGAATTCCCTTGTATTTAAGCACAATACTAGATTGACGGCAAGGTTTCGTCATTGTACAGTTTAGATTAGTAGATGTAACCGCAAGTTCTGTATTAACAGTTTCTTCTCTCACACTTCTCGCTTGTGGAACTTCCGGCTTCTTGCTTTCCAGTTGATCTTGGAAAAATTACAACTTAAATTAAAACTCCTGTCTTTTTAATTCTTTCTTTTATTGTTCTCTCTTCTTAATGTATTTCTTTTTTTTTCATATTCTTCCCCACTCAGTAACTCCTTGCATCTTAGTTGCTTTATTGTCTTGCTTAGAGGGAAATTATTTAAAGAAATGTAGGTAACTCTGCTCATCTATATCTCTCTTGCCTTCTGTATATCCTGTGAGTATCAAATTCTCCAAACTCTCTTCCTCCACTCCTGTGTCCTAGAAATTTCAACTGTTTCTAATTCTAAGTAAATGTTTCTTTTTTTTTTCTCCTTAAAACTTACTTGTTGCCCGCATGCTTCATCCATGGTATTCTCAGCATCCTTCTATAGAACCATATCTCTTTTACCTGAAGTCTTATCTTTTCCAGCATTCATTTATCATATAGAAGGATTGATGTAACACAGAACGTCAGCTCACTTTTCTTTGTATTTAACGAACTTTTCTTGTTTTTAATACTTTTCTTAGCTTCTGGAAGGCAACTTTCGCTATTCTTCAGATTTCATGCATGAAGACAGAATGTATGGTTGTCAGTAAAAGGAACAGCACAACATAAAAATTACAAATTGGAGATACCGAATTCAAGCAAGCACCGGGTAGTGTTTTAAGAGAGGACGGAAAGGGCAACATCAAAATCCAAAAGCGCATTGAGATAGCGAAAGATGCTTTCAAAAAGCTTCATTAGAAACAAAAGTATTGAACTGTTAAACAGAAAAAACTTCATTAGAAACAAACAAAAACAAAGTAAAAGAGTCTGAACTGTTATGTAATATCAGTCCTTCTATATGGCAGTGAATGATGGACAATCTCCTCACAGATGAAGAAGAGACTTGAACAAACAAAAACAAAGAAAAGAGTCCTGAACTGTTACGTAATATCAGTCCTCCTATATGGCAGTTAATGCTGGACAATCACCTCACAGATGAAGAAGACACTTGAAGCAACAGAAACAAAGAAAAGAGTATTAAATTGTTACGTAATATCAGTCATCCTATATGGCAGTGAATGCTGGACAATCTCCTGACAGAAGAAGAGACTTGAACAAAGCATGTCAAAGTGGGAAAAATTTTCGTATAACGCGTTTCGTCCCTTCAGACTTCATCAGACTAAAATGTTTTTTAAGTTGATGCGACTACACATGCGCACGAAGGGAAGTGGGTGTTGAGAATTTTATTGATTGATCGACGCTGAGTGTTTTGATTGATTGGTTGATTTTGTTTTTTTTACAACTTATCAACCTTTTGCAGGCTATTTAAAGCCAGAAAATATTTTTATATTGTAAGAATCTTTTGGAGATAATAATATTTTACTGATTAAACTCCTACTAATTAGCCCATAGATGGGGAGAAAAGAGGTGGATTCATACCTTTCCCAAGGGTATTTGCGCGTAGATGAATACAACAGACCCGACTGGAATTGAAATTCGGCTCTCCGATTAAATTGTCGGAGCCATTATCCATTACATCACTCGTAGCACTTGGTCTTCCCAAACGGTCACTCATCTAAGTATTGACCAGGCTCGACGTTGCTTAAACTGCGTCTTAATGGTTTCTATGTTGGTAGATATTTGTTGACGAAACTGTTTGGAAGCTGACGAATCACAAATCATCGTGACTGGCTCAACTAATGATCACACTAGATTTTGTGTTCTCTCCCAGAAAATGTAACGATGGTCAGCACAATTGCAATATAAACCACAGGTTGACTTTATTAGTGTTGAAGAAACACGTTTCTACCTGATCAGGCATCTGCGATAGGGTTCAGCTAGCCGCCCTAGTCAGACTCCATAGTCAAATGAGACTGACGGATGCCTGCTATACAATACCACCTAGCGGGAGTTAGTACAAATCCCCTTGCCGATTCAATGGCCCAGCCACTCGTATCCGAGGATTCCCGTCTACTCCCTCTTCAGGCACATGTTGTGTTTGTTCAACACCCTCATAGCCCACCTGTGATTTATACTGCTAATGTGCTGAGCGAACTTTAGTTCCTGTTTCTGAGAGAGAGAGAGAGAGATAGAGAGAGAGAGAGAGAGAGAGAGCGTTATCTAGCATGACCAAGCACTCAAACCCTCGGTCACGATGACTTGTGAATTCGTGCTAACAGATAAAGTGACTTGCATATAAAGTAGAGGTAATCCCACAATAATATACGTAATTTCCTCAGAAATGTGTTTCTTTTCTTTACAGATGAAGCCGCCACTGCCTCCTAATTTAGCCCGGAAGCTGGAAGCGGAAAAGGGGAAGGAATCGCATCCGGGTGACATCCACGATTCTTATTATTTAGACATGGAAGGAATAAATGACGCCGTATACCAGAATTATGAAACTTCTCAAGACGAAATCTATGTAAACAACTGA